ATAGTCTCTTGATGCAGGTCCTTTTTTTCCCCCACAATTCTTTTTCTGGACGTAGAAAAGTATTTTTCATTTTAAATATTGGGTATTTTAAATAACTGTCGTGTTGTCACATCCAGCCTACAATGGAGATCAATTCACTCTTATGCTGTTAGTTTTCAACATAACTACAGACCTCAAGGAGGGATTAGACAGTTGAATTTAATGTTAAATTTCACTGACCCCAGCGAAAAGCTCTTTAATGTAATTTAAATTTAAAGACATATAAAAAGAGACTCAGTCCCTGGCCAGGAGGGCTAAATAAAACTAAACAACCTATTAGACAGATAAAGAAAAACTTTTTAGCATTTTGGCACCAACAGATTAAGCTTTGTTTTCACTTCTTTTTATTTATTCTTTCAAATATTTCTGTCTCAACCGGTAAGGAACTGACGAATGAGTACTTTTAATTGCTTTTCCTATAACCTCTCTCAAGTTAGACGCATATATTAAACTGACAAATGTGAAATATTCCATCTTCACAACTATAATGGTGCTTAGAAACAGGATACAAGACACCCTAGTAATGTCCAGATCCTAAATGCATTGCTCCATGTTATCCAGAAGAAACCTGTTACTTGGTTTGAGAGCTTGAACAGAAAGTCCTTTTTACAGTGGGACATGTAATGTCCCATGAACTGACAAAATCATCTGGCATTACAAGAGAACACACAAGAATATGCTGGATACCCTAAGATTCCAGAGCAAGTCATTGAAATTGTGCACAATGCCTGCAGTATAGCTTGGACCCCTGAAAGAACAAACAAGTGAGTAACTCCATAGTAATCAATATATCATATAAGAGATGCTGGAATTTGTATAGCAGTAGATTCAAATATGGAAAGAAATGGGGGAATATGAGAGGGAAGGAGAGGGAGGAAGGGAAGTCCTACCTTCACAGTTCTTGGAAGTTGAATTATATGTGTAGCCTTCTGCACATTCACATTCATATTTACCCAGGGTATTCTTACAGACAGCTGTCCCACAGATGTTTGGATGTAATGCACATTCATTTATATCTAGAAATACAAACAAGTTATTAAAAATAAGTCACTCTTCTGCATATCATTTTTTCTTAACTTAGTCCAAAACTGTAAGAACTCGGTGAGGCTGGCAAACTGTCTCTTGCTAGTTAGGTTTTCTGTGCTTTTATAGCAGTCTATAACTATAGCAGTAAAGACTTCCAGAGGCCCCGAAAGGCAATTTCTGCATAGTCTCAGTGAAAAATGAATTCTCTGCCTGTCTACCTTTAAACTCTTCTCACATGTCTAGTGGAAAACAGGAAAAGAGAAACATATCTAAGAATGCAGTAAGAGAAATAGTCTGTGGATTTCCTATAAACTAAGTTACACTGCATAATAATATTCCGTCTTTTATAAAACATCCAGAAAGACAAGAAATAATCCTATCCATTTCTGACACGTCACAATCTTCTTTTAATTGTCTATGCTGACAGATTTTCAAGTTGCTCCCTGTCTCTTCATCCCTCAAATCATTTCAGTGTTTATCTTCTGTGTTATTTCCTATTTTTCAATGTCAATGTGACAACTGGACACAACATATAGTATAAATCTAACTAGATGTCTTGTAGATAGAAAAATATCCAATCCCTGGTAGCATTTTAATTCCCACCTGTATGTGCAAGGATCATTCTAGTTTTCCCCATGGTTTTGTAGTAGCTGCACTGGGGAGAACTGATTCTGTTACCTGCCTGGGAGGATTCAGAACATTTTGAAATCATAGCTGTCCAAAATACAGGCTACTTTTTGAGAGTTATCTTGTGCATTTTAAATTCCTTGGTGTATAATTTTGAAGATGGATGTAATTAAACACTTAAATCCAGTTTTTAAATGACCTAACTAGTACTGTGATTAGTTTTCAAGTTATTTTTCAATCTGACAGTCTTTAAATGATCAACACCCAGATCTGTACTTACATCACTACTGAAGATAGAGTAGAACTCCAGAAGAAATATCTCAGTCTAATAATAATCTTCACTAAGAAATCTTTTTTGAGATTTTTTTTCTTTTAGTTGCTTGGTTATTTTACTTTGTCTGCTACTCATTGATTCTGGTGTTAGATAACTAAAAATAACTTGTTCTTTTTAAGCCAAGCATTGTGTTACAATAAAACCTTTGCAAAGAGTCAGTTACGTCATTGATCCAAATTGTTAAAGTATGTTCATATATTTTTAGCTCCAATATGTGTTTTAAAAGATTTTTTCAACATCATTCCAAGAACTGCAGAGATTCTAAGTAGCTTACCTGTCTTCCCTACTTGATATAACAGAATTTTTTTTTTTTCTGGTATTTGCAGAGGCATTACTAACTCTCAAATATATTTAGACTAAAAGTAGAAACAGTGGCAGACAACCCTTAGGTCTGGCCTCTTGAATTATTTAACATTGTCTGAAATGGTTGGCATGGTTCAGAAATATGTGATATGAAAATGAAATGAGGTTGCTTTTTTTTTTTTTTTTTTTTAAGTAAGATTTGATAATTATTTTAATATATAGACTTCATCTGGAGTGGAATGAAATGTATAGGTCATGGTCAATAATAAATTGACAACTACTATCCATGTATGGGGAAAAAAATATGCTGGGTGAGCGAAAGACAAATGTTTCTCTTCATGTACAGCATTTTCAGTTTCATTAACAGTTTATTCTCTAATGAACATACAAACTCCCAAAAGAAGACAGCAAATTTGGAGTGACTCAGCCTAAGCCAATGTTTGCCAGATAGGAATTGCATGATAACAGTGTTAGCTGGTCGCAACACTTTATGTTTCTGTTTCAACAAGCTTAAAGGAGATATGAAACTGGTTAGTGATTAAAACTTTCTTTGAACCTTAGTTGGTTCAATATCTTCTTTCCTTGATCTTGTTCACTAAACAGTTGTCCGAATGTTCTTTTATAGCAGTGTAAGGTAGGAAGTAGGATGAGCAGCCTGGTTGAAGTAGGCCTGCATCTTCCAGTGGCAACGCAAGCTTCTGCTGATTTAAAGCATTTATGGAACTACTTGGCTAAATTCTTTCCCCTGTAGTCAATAGGCAATAAGCAATGGATTGTTATGTAGTGACACTCTCCTTAAGCCTTATTTCCTACCTCTGCAATCTCGTTTATTTGAATGCATGAAGTAGCCATCCTCACATAAACAACGGTAGCTTCCAGGCAAATTAGAACAGCGTTGGCTACAACCTCCATTGAAGTCTTCACATTCATTTATATCTAGAACGAAAACAAAATAAAAATCATTGCTCAGGGAAAAGCAACCACAGACAACAGCGTGCATGTAGGTATACTTCAAGATCTGATACTATTCAGCACTAGTAGAACTATAACCGTATTCCTGAGAACTAATATTGTAATGACATTAAAGATTATACCTTCTTCACAATTCTCTCCTTGCCATCCTGGTTTACAGATGCATGTATATCTGGCTTGTCCATCTATGCAATCCTTATATCCATCTCTATGGCATGGCAGAGGGCTACACTGGTTTGAAATTTCTGCAGGATGAAAACATTAGAATTACATGTTATTTGAGGATATTTCCCTCAAGGAACAGCTTAATCTTTCCTTTTGTCTTCCACAGCTACCTTTTACCTTTCAATAAATAGGGAGAGGCTTGATGAATAAGATCAGATATTGACACAAAACTCTTGTTATTAATTCTGTCAGCCAGAATCTGCAAGTGAAAAAAATCTAAAGCTACCAGTATTCTTCATCAGACAGAAAACAACTAGAAAACAAGTGATTCACTAAACCACAATAATCCTTGCAGATTGTGACCAAAGTCTTGACACTATTTTTTTTTAGTATTAGAGACATATTTAACCCTTTAAAGAACAATGCTCTGTCTCATTACATTGACACAAATTTCTGTAGAAATTCCTAATTTTCAACAAGTACCCCAGAATAAAATTCAAGGGCTCAGTTTCTCTGTTCAAGAAACTGCATTGTGTTCATAGAGAGACTTATACCTATGTGTTCATAGAGTTTGTTTTGGCTGACCAAGCCTTGTATGTAGACTGGATACATAAGTGTTTAATGCTGTCACCTGTCACAAATATTAACTTCAATGGAAAAAAAAAATAAAAATTGGAAAAATCAACGGAAGATTCTTTATGCATGCTGGCAAGACTTCAAGAGGCAAGGCTTGAAATACATAGTTGGGACAGAGAACACAAGGCTCACTATCTTTTTGCTATGCCCAAAATTCATAAATTCTTCAATTTTTTTTCCATGATTTTCCTAATCTTTATCAGCATAATATGTAAAGTGTCCTTATATTTATTTCTCTTAAGTCTGTCAGTACTCTCATGGATTATTTATCACCAAACCCATAGAAGTCACAAATACGCTGTTTCTTCTTAAAAAATATATTTTTGTATATATTTTAGGATGTTATTTCATGTTTTCTAAAAAGAAAATAAATATGAAAAAGGGTATTATAAAAGAACAGGTAGAATGAAGACAGGATTTTGGGATGCTCAGATTAAAAAAAAAAAAAAAAGTGGCTGGAAAGGCAAGTAATCTTGCAGAATGAAACTCGCTGTGATTCTGTGCCAGAGACCTCACTGAATTTCTTTATGTTGAGGCCCACAGAAGAGTAAGTTTAAAGTTCTGTAAGAGAGTTTAAAAAAAACTGTTAGTATATTTGTCAATTAAATTTACTTAATATTCAAATTCTGCTGCAAGCAAATCCCAAACCTCAGAGGCCAGACAAGGTCCAAAACCACACAACATCTCTAGAATAGCTACTCTATAGCACTTAATACTCATGTCGTGGACCAAAGGACTCCAGTTTCAGGTAAGATTGGCAGAAGAAATTGCAAAGAAGAAATAGAAGGAACGGGGCTGATATATGACTCTGTCACAGCAGTTTCCTGTGGTAAAAAAAAAAAAGTTGTCTAACTACCTACATTTTTTTTCTCTTGCTTGCTAATTTCTGCTTTTGTAGGTCAAGGAACAAGTGTGTGAACCAGGCTTGGAACAAGCAAAGAGTTTTATAAATGACGGATGTGGAAGGTACCCTGGAAGTGTGCAACTGCAGAAAAAAACTGAGTATGAATGCTTCTGAGCAGAAAGTGATGATGGCATGTGAGTGAGTCTGATCTTACAGAATATGGGTTATGTTGTCAGTGCAAAATATACACAGATGGAATAAGATGAATTAAGTAAATAAATGGGAAGAGAACTGGAGATGTTAATATATTAAAAAAAAAAAAAAAAAAGTTGATCTGGATGTACTCAGCCTTCATTGAAAAGATAGGTGGCAAGAAACATGCTGGTACCTCTATCCTCTCCCACTTTAAGTCTTTGGTATCCAGAAGATGTGCCACAGTGAGCAGAATAAGTATAAACATTGGGATTTTGTAAGCCTTTATTTTCAAAAGCAGTTAAGTATGCAACTATGTGATACAGTTTAGGAACTTCAAATTACTTTAAAATTGTTTGCATTGTTATTTTTATTCTTTTATTTCCTATCTTGAGATTCACACTAGTTACTGTATTGTTCTAAAATAATTGTTACAATTAATTTTTTTCTGATTAGGAAAATTGGATTTTTCATTTTGACACTATAAAGCAATTTGGATAATTAAATAAATAAACATAAAACTTTTAAAATGAAAAAATGAAAAAAATGCTTGATATTCAGTATCATAAGATGCATGAGTCAATGAAAGTACATTTAAAAAAAAAAGTCATAGTCTTAATGGGAATTAATTATTCTGTTTTCTCAGCAGTATTTCCTTTTCAGAAATGCTCTGCATAAAGTCCTTTGAACAGTCAAGCCTTTGAACCACTTGCAAAAGTTATGCTAACTCTCTTAACTTGTCCTTTCTCCCATTGATTGACCAACAGCAGTAACACGTTTTTCTTCAATATTATGAATCCAAATGGAGAAATACAATAACAAGTTAACTAGCTGCTTTCACGGGATAATACAGAAACACTGTGCACTCACACAACTCTGCTGAATTCTTTCCTCCCAGAACCTCTAATGAGTGAGAAAGTGTGACATCAATGGGAGTACATTTTAGTTTATGACAGCAGGCACGTTGGCTACGTGATCTGGAAAATATGTTCATCCATGACCATGTATAGTGTCATTATTAAGGATTTTTCTCACCTTCTTTTGCTTTCCATGACAAAAACAGGGACAGATGATCAAGAATAAGAAAATTTCTCTGATGCATCTAGGCTGTAAAAGTTTAATAAATTCAGAGAGATATTTCTACATTGACGAGTTGGGAATGAGCTACAGATGTTTCCTGTGAATTTACTAGAAAAAATACAGTTCACAATGGCATTATGAATGTATGGGCATAGAAAACTACACATTGGAGCAGCATCACAAACTCTTTACTTTGTGGCCTTCCTGTATCTGAAGTAAATATCTAGATCCATCTTATGTTTGAATTTTTCAGTTGGTGGCATTATACCCTTCAACAAGGGCTACAGTGTAACCATGGGCCAAAGAGTAGCATAAAGGCAAATTTGCCAGGTGGCCTCTTTGCTCAATTCCCTAAACAGGATCTGCTGGAAGGGCTGAGTCAAGTACAGTTACTAAAGATAAGGCAGAGTACTGAGGCCATACTAGGGAATGTTGGTGAGCTGACACAGCACACGCTTCTATGCTTCTGGAAAGTCTGCCTTCCACTTTGCAGTTTGATTCTTTTCTGCTATGCTTTGTAAAAATTAAAAACAGTCACTTACTCTGCAAATGCTCTCACCTAAATTTCTTGTCAATTTCTTTTCCCAGATAATTGTTTGCTGGAGTTAAATAGAGATTTGTGTATTTTTCTGCCAAGAACAACTGTTTCCTAGACATGCACGTTTGTGCGTTCCAGTGTGAGTGCAGTAGGTAAAGCATCCAGCAGCAGCACTTACCATTGACACATGCCCTCAGATCAGCTGGAGAATCTGGAGTCACTGCAGTAACCCTGAAAACTCCTGCTCGATAGGAGGCAAGGCAGCCTGCAAATGCAAATCCACACATAGGATACAAACACTCATTTAGACTGAAATTACAACAGCTTATACATGGCATCTTCAAAGACTCTCTTCTCACAGTTTGAAACAAGTTAGAAAACTTGTCTGGGCATATTAAAGACAGCTGATCACAGACCAACCTTCTTAGTGCCTTTGCTGGGATCTAAGCACATCAAACTACCAAAGAGCTACTATGCATTATAATAAGCATGCAAATCTTTTAGTGCTGTGAGCAGAATAACAAAACTAACATTATCCAAATAGCAAGGGTAGTGAATGACACACTAGAGTTGCTCAGGTTTCTTGTACTTACTTAAATACTTGGGGTAAAAATACTCCTGCACAAAGAAAAGAAAAACCAAGGGTAAGAAAAACTGAAGGTAGACAGAATTACAGCAAAACACACTGAAAATGTTCAAAATATATTTGTCTTATGACTATAAAAGAAGCAAAAAAGAAAATCACTTGGATTCTTAATGATACATATAAAACTTGGCATGTATTCTATTCTTTAGGGTAAGATAGCAGATTATTTTGTAACAAAGAACTCAGTGGAGAGAAGGTTAACATTCTGCACTGAATTTGACAATTTTGAAGTGAAGGCAATGACAGTGAATTGGATGTGATAATAAATTGGAGGTCAAATTGAAAATCTGAAATTTTTTTTCTTAGAATAGGAGGATCTTGCCCAATATTTTTACTAGAGACAGAGAAGCTTCCTTTTTTTATCTTCAGATAAAGAAGGGAAATAAAAAAAGTAAATACAACAACAACAAACCAAAAACCCCCAAAACACCACAACATGGAATAGGTTGAATATTTTACAGGAACTTCATTCCAAATAAAGTGAAGTCTTATTAAACTAGATTTTTTTTTTTAAACAAACAACTGATTACTGAAACAATTTAATTTTTTTTACTTAAATATCAACAAACAGTATCTCCAAATATATGCAGTATTATCAAAGACAGAACGTAGAACTAATACATGGCTTGCAAAACAGGAATTCATCTTAATCACATTTTCTGTACATAATAACCCCTTTACAGGATGAAGCTGACTACAATATTCCTAATGCTAAATACTGTGCAGTGGGAATGAGCTGAGGAACAGTTATCTCCACTAGGAAAAAAGCTCATAGATCAATCCCTTCATTAAAAGAGTTGCACTGCCATGTGTTCTCTGTGTAAAATTTTAATTGAAGCTAACAGGCTTTCCCCACATGGAATGCTCGCAGACAACTGTGGTCTAAAACTGGTGATCCATACCTAAAATCAAAATAATATCTACTCAACTATTCTCTTTGCTTATATGTTGTTTAGTATTAATTGATTCTATACGCAGGAGACTTTCAGCCCAGTTCTTGGTCTGCAATGTTTGAGAGGTTTTTTTTAAGCTTTGCAATGTGAATTCTATGTACTTCTAGAATCCCACTGCAAAGAACTACTATTTATCTCACAGATATTCCTCACATACTTACAGTTTCAGGATTATTTTCAAAGATTTCTCTGGCTTCTTCCTTGTTGCATAATTCTTCAACACACTCTCTTTCTAAATTTCCCTTCTTACTTTCTTCCATAAAAGAATTTGCTCGACGTTTCCTCACCAGGAACTCAGAGGCATACTGGTGGGATAGAACTTGGTAGAAACAAAGGAGCTCTGTTATTTATTTTTAACTGCTGAAATATGAGATAAACATGAGGTTCCCTTACAAAAGTCTGAATTAAGAGATTACTCATGAAGTGGCTGTTTCCTACGATTTAGGCACAAACATTCCAGGATTCTGTTCTTGGTACATGTCCTAAAAAAATCCCAAGTCACCACAAAAAACTTATGCAATGCCGTGTGTATGAAGCACAACTTAAATGTTATATTCAGTCTTTTTTTTAAGCTATGATGTTATAAATGAGATATGTGACTGATAAATGGAAAAATGCTCTCAAGACTTTTCTATTACCTGTTTCTTTGACCTAGAAGTAAATATTCTGATCCTATATGTGTGATCAAAAATGTGTCTTAAAGAAATCAGGCTACCTGTTATATGTAATTAACACAAAGTCATTTTAGTTTTTCAGAATCACAAAGAATATGACAAAGTAAAAGATAATGACATTCAAAAAAATATCAAGGCTAACAACCTGAAACTACATTCACATTTGACACAGGTAAAACAGAATCCTACTTAACTTTTTTATTTCAAATTGATCATGTTGTGAGTCATTCCTAATTTTCACATATCTTATTGTTGCTATTTTATTGACACTTAGACAATTGGCAAAGAAATGAGTTGTGAAATTGTATTACAATAAAAAGATATCCATTTGGTCCAGTGTTCCTTGCAGAGCACACAATATTATGGGGAAAAAGACTAAATTAGACTGCCTCATTGATTTTATCTTTGGACATACCTTGTGATTAAGATAAAAATGGATGAGCATAATAGCAAGAACTCCAGCTTACAGGGTTAAAGAGCATGGCTGACAGATGCTAACTAGACAGCATGGCACTTCTGCACCTTCCCTTCTTTTACCAGCTTTTACACAAGCTTTTACACAAGTCTGACTAGCATAACTGTCAGAGGGCACCTACTGTGCAAACCAGATACAGTGTACTTAAATATTCATCACTAGTCTGTGAAGATCAATTTAAACAGACATAGTCAATTCACTGTTGTTTATGAGTTTATAATACCTCAAACACAGAGCACTTTTGTAGTCAACTGTCAGAGAATGGCCTCCCAAAGCACTAAGAGAGGAAAAACTTAAAAGGCTTTTTAGGAAGAATAGCTAATGATACACAGAACTTGAAGACAGAATGATTTTCAAGTGATAGATCTAACTTAAAGCCATAGCATCCTGAACACAAAGCTCTCAATCAAGTGATGGCAAACACAGCTGAAGCACTCTGGAGAACTTCAACATGGACAGTAACCTGATAAAACCTTTATGTTATAGCATCCTAAATGTATTTGATATGGAATAAGACTGTAGCCTCAAATTGATTTCTTTGGTGTATTTGATAAGACTAATCCTCACAGTATGGTATGTGGGAACTGCTAAATCACGGCCTGAACCTCTGATTGATCGTCTGAGGCAAGCATTGAGTCAGCCCAGGGAGCACAGGTGAAGGCAATTCAGCTGGGTGACTGGAAGGGGTGGAGCCTGGCTGCACCTCTCAGACCTCATTTAAGGGCTGACTGTGAGAGGGAGGGTTCTTTTCCTAGAGATTGCTCCCTTTGAAGTTTTCTTGCAAGCCTAGGACATGGGTGAACGTTTCATTTATTTTCAATTATCCCTTTCCACTGTGATAAACTTTCTAGTTATATGATCTGTAGATGCTAGCCTAGTCACACCACTCTGTGTATTTGTTGTTTATACTGTATGGCAATAGGTAAAACTTTCTGAGAAGGCAAATAGATCTACTACAACATACCTCTAAAGCTCAGAAGCACATCCTTGTCTCAGAAAGTAACCAGCAAGTTGCTCAGAAATGCAAGGAGGAGAGGACGGCTTATGCCCTGAGTATTTGAGTAGGCATCAGCCTGGTTTTGGAGGAGTCATTTCTTCTTACATACAT